GACACTGCGCCCCCATCACCCCAGGCTGAGCCTGACCCTCCGTCCTCATCAATCCAGGTGAGCCTGACACTGCGCCCCCATCACCCCAGGCTGAGTCTGACCCTCCGTTCTCATCAATCCAGGGTGAGCCTGACACTGCGTCCCCATCACCTTAGGCTAAGCCTGACACTGTGGCCCCATAACCCCAGGTTGGACCTGGCACTGCGCCCCCATCTTGAGTCTGAGCCTGCGCCCTCCACCCCCAAATTCTCTGTGCGTCGGCCACCGCACCATGGCCGGGCCGCCCCCACCTGGTCAGTCAAGAACGGTGAGGTCTTTGCCCTTTCCGAAGAACCAGCTTGCTCTCGGACCCGAGGCAGCTCCTCTGGTAGCTTGGAGCGGCACCAACACCCAGCCTTCAAACCAGAATAAATATACCTATGTCTCCCCATCCCCCCCCCCGCCCACGCCACTCGGGAGTGGTTGCCGCTTGCAGGGATGGCGCTGAAAGCCACGCCCCAGCCCACCCACACTCCTAAGCACTTCTCAACAGACATCCAGCCGGGCTGGAATAGCCTCACTGAGGAAAAGCTGTCTCCCGCCACTGAGGGCGCAGCCCGGGCTGGATCAGTCAGACCCACGAGGTCCCTGACTAGTGACAGCTGCAAAACTGCCAAGTCCGGTCCGTCGCCGTCATCCTGTTTAGTTCAGCATTGGAAGTTTTCCCGTTAGGGAACTCTTTCAGTGAATACTGTACAAATAGGGTTATTCAGTTTTCAGGGTTGCTCTTTTTTTTTTTTTTTTCCTTTTTCGTTTTAATTAAAATCTCAGTGATGTAACCATGACACACCCAGCAGGCGAGAAGGGGAATTCCCTGTGTCGAGGGTTTTGGTTCAGGACTTCGTAGAAGGAATCAGCATTTCCAATTCTTGGCTGATGAAAAGAATCCTATGGGGCATTTATGAAAAAATTGAATTCCTAGACCTCACCTAACTACGGAATCAGAGATGCGTGGAATGTATAAGTTTGGGCAACAATGCTAGAATGCATCAGCAAATTAATTAAAATCTTCGAAAGATGCCTCCAAAATAGCAACATGCTTTAATGCTGAGACCTTACCCTTTTGGGAGCCACTGTCCCTTCTGGGGAGTCCCTGGGTAGTGCAAATGGTTAAAAACTCAGCTGCTAACAAAAAGGTTGAAGGTTTGAGTCCAACCATAGGCACCTTGGAAGAAAGGCCTGGCATCTACTTCTGAAAAACCAGCCATTGAAAACCCTATGGAGCACATGTGGGCACTTGTGACACATGTGAGGTCATCAGAAGTGGGACCCAACTACACAGCAAATGGTTGTTGGGTCCCTGCTGGGGAAGAGAGAGGTTCTTAAAATAAGATCATTTTAAGTGACAAACTAGAAAGGACAAAGGACTAGTTTAGTGGTCCAAAGGTGAAATGTTTAGTACCATGCCTTATGAAGGCAGGACAGAACTGTGTCATCCTGTGCCTGTGTAGGGCCAGCTTTACATTAAAATGCCCATTTTCTGAATCTTTATTAAATGCCAGGCACTTTGCTTGGATTTTCAATGTTATCTAATTTAATCCTCCCTATAATTAGTATTCCAAGTTTAGAAATGAGGACACTGTGACTCCAAAAGTTTAAGGAGCCTGCCCAAGGCTGCACAGCAAGAGCCTATAAGAATCAAGTCTGTGGATCATTCAAATGTTTAAAAATAACAATAAAAAATCATAGAAATTATTTAATGAAAGTTCTAGTTTTAAAGAGGTTTTAACTCCACAATCTATGTCTATTGCCAGAGTCCAGGGGAATTTGAGCCTTGTGTAATCCCCCTTTGAGAATTACATAAACTTTTGTTCTTAGGTGTTCATCTGGAATACCAACAATCAAAGGATACAAATGTGAACGGAAGTTCCAAAGAAGGAGATGGGCAAAGTGAGAGACCACAGGCTTTTCTGCTCAGGGGAATTGATGTTACAGCTTGGGTTCCCAGGTGTCTTTGTTTCTTAGTGCTGCTGTAGCAGAAATACCACAAGTAGGTGGCTTTAATGAACAGAAATTTATTTTCTCACAGCTCAGGAGGCTAAACGTCCAAACTGAGGGGACGGGCTAGAGGGGAAGGCTCTCTCTGTTGGCTTTCCAGGGAAGATCCTGGTCTCAGCTTCTGCAGCGCTGGTGTTCCTCAGTTCCTTGGTGATATCCACATGGCATCTATCTTCCCCCATTTGTGCTTCCTTGTCTCTGTATCTACACTACTCCTTATAACTCGGAAGTAATCAGGTTCAGGACACACCCTACACTGATATGGCCTCATTAACATAACAGAAAACCCTATATTCAAATAGGATTACATCCACAGGTATAAGAGGTTAAGATTCCCACACATTTTGGGGGACACAGCTCAATCCATAACAGCAGGAAAGCAGGTTCTCAGAGAGAGTGGGCAGGATGTTCACTAAGGAATGCCCGTGGGGTCAGTACCTGTGGAGGGAGGGACAGGAAGCCACAATGCAGACCCAACATCAGCCTCCACTGACCCCACCCAAGGCTCTGGAACTAGAGACTCTTTAGAATTACTGGGCCTAGATGGCTGAGCCTTTATACATCCTCCATCCTGGGAAGTGGTGTGACCTTGGTCAGGTAACTCTGCAGCTGAGGCTGTCCCTGAAAGAGCTGGCTGCCAGCAGCAGTAGGGTCAGGTAAGTCCTTCCTTAAAATGCAGGGCTGGGAGGCACATATCAGCATTGCCTACTCATACGCTATGTGTCCCTCACCATTGTGCTGACCTTTCCATATGAGGAGAGAAGGCCCCACGGTGAGTGTGGGGCTCATATTACCCTCCACCCCACACCCCGGTGATAACAGTATACACACAGTACTCACAGTCTTGAAGCAGGATAGCACGCTGGCTAAGAGTGGAGGCCCCTAGTCAGATTGCCTGGGTTAGCATCCAGGGTCTATCGCGCACTAGCTATATAACTTTGGACGAGATACCCAGCCTTTCTGTGCCTCAGTTTTCGCATTTTAACATGGGAAGAATAATAGTACCCAGCCTATGGAGTGGGTATGAGAATTAAATATAGTTGTGCTGTAAGGGGCTTAGCAGCTCACCTCATCAGCGCTCAGCAAGTTGGGTGCCCTCCATGATCTCTTTAGCTTCCCATGATTGGCTAAATTGGAATTTTATACGAGACTGCAGTCAGAATGCTCTTTTTGGTGAACGTAGGAAACTGAGTACCCTTGGGGTCCAGGTCAAGGAGGTGAAGGCCATGACAGAGTTAAGTCAATGAGCACCACCGCGAGGAAGCTGGGACTTTCTCTTAACAGTGAGAAGCAGTGACCACATTCAAGACATGCCTTGGTCTTTCAAGCTGCTCTGCCTCGGGGGGTGCCTCCCTGCTCCCCTCTCTCTGAAATGTCAGCCCTCGCCTTTCCCTTCCCCTGCTGCCACATCCCTTCACGATACTTGCCAGTGTACTTTTATCTCCTGAGGAACATTCCAGAGTCAGTCATGGACTCCCCTCAGCTCACGGCACTGCTGCCACGCTTGCCACATTGTACTGGGATTATTTAATAGGGCCTCATCCCCAGTCATTGGCATCCTCCCCACTCCCCGACGCCTGGGAGACTGGACACCTGAAGATTCAGAGATTGTCAAAATGGAACTTCATTCAGTTTTAAATCTCCAGCGTTTGCTGAGTAACTCTCTTCACTGACTGGATAACACGGGAGCGCTCAGAGAACGGAGAAGGTGAAATCCCATGAGCACTTCCACATTTTATACTTTTAGTGCCTCTGCTTGCTTTGCATTTTCCAGCTCCAAGTCCTTTTAAGACAGAACCTTACTCTATGATATCACCCACTCTTCCCCTTTCTATTTCCCCTCAGGCTGTTAGAAATTAATTTCTTCAAAGCATGTTTCCTTTTATGAGGGTCTGAACAGATTGCTTCTAAATCATGTTTTTCTGTTCATACTTGTTCCCTGTAATACTCTGTGTCTGGGTGTGGAAGTGACTCTCCAGGTGACTAATGCTTCACTGGGAAGGTGTTATGTGCTGTTTGCCCCCCTCACCTTAATCAAATGTCTTTGAAGCATTTTCCCTTCATTGACCTGCTGCAATAACATTACGGAATGTTAGCATGACCTTTCTCCACTGTGGTACAGCTGAGTGTCTAACAAAATCGTCTTTTCTTTCTTTTTGTCCTTCCATCCAACCAACCTCATTCTCACACTTCTTTAGCTCGTTATGAAGGCTGCATGTTTTGGGTTAAACTCTCTGGATACTTGTTTTAAATTATAACATGAGCATCTGATGTAGTTAAAACTGACAAAGTATTTTCAGAAAAAGAGAAAACAGTATTT